TTAAATATATATATATATATATATATATATATATATATATATATATATATATAAATATATATTTGAACATTGTTATTAAAATTAACTCATTCAAAGGCCTCAGTGTTGGAGTATAAATGTCGTCTTTAGAAATATTATTAATGAGATAAAACTGAAATATGGCTCAAACGTTTGGATGAATGCAAACGAGTTTAATGCAGCTGACAAAGAGAATACAGAAAAAATGGAAAGAACAAGCAGTTGAAGTGAAGATGAAGATGAGGAAGAAGTGAGGATGAAGTGAAGAGAGGGGAAAGAGAGAGGAAGTAGAAAGTGTGGAGTTCATGTTTCGTCATCCATCTCATAACTTTTAACTATTTTAATTTATAGAAGCCATATACATATATATAGTTATGATGAATATATTTAGTGGTATCTCTTATAACTATATGGCTTAGATGAACATATATCTAGAGATATAGATAGATAGATAGATAGATAGATAGATAGATAGATCAATGGTTTAGTTTCAAATGAACATTAATGTTTGATAGCTTTCAATAAAAACTCAAAACTATGCATGATGTAGTATTATATCCATCAATGATGAATGTGTGAGTAATTATTAACGTAAAATGTTCTTCCTTTATTCCATTTTATTCTTTCTCTTCCTCTCTCCTTCCCTCCACCCTCTTCTTCCTTCTTCATACTCTTTCTTCAACTTCACACTCATCCCCATTCCATATTTCAGATCGAAATTTAGAAATTTAAAAGATCCATTAATATGCGTAAAAATAATCAAAATTATGCTCAAACTAATAGATAGATATTATCCGTTTAGACGAAAAACCAACCCATGATGAACTAGAAACATTTCTTCTCACACTGTTGAGTATCAATTGAGAATAGTTCAATATGAGAAAACATGAAAAATTCTTTTTTCCACAAAAAGTTCGTCTTCTCCAAAATCACCATAAGAAACAGACAAATACTTGAGAGAAGCACAAAACATATATCAATGTGAAATATTGAATCTGAGAAATCATCTCATCTTCTATACAGATCAAAGAAACAATGAGAAGCAGAGATTTATAGAGAGAGAGAGAGAGAGAGAGAGAGAGAGAGAGAGAGAGAGAGAGAGAGAGAGAGAGAGAGAGAGAG